CGCCGCGCTCCGCCTACAGTCTCCCGCTCGTCTCCCGATTGGCTCGGCCGGAAGGTCGAGGCGTGGCTTCAGGCGGGCGCGTTCCCACCCGGTCTCCTCCGCGGAAGCTCAGCACTGCTTTCTCCCCAAGAGCAGCCCGTTGTCCCGGGGATGCAGTTCGCCGCCCTCCGCAAACCTTGCCCCTGTCGCCTCTCCTTTTCCCTGAACGGGCCAGTCTCCTTTGAAAGGACCTAGTAACAATATGGACGCATAGAAATGGCCTGTTACTTTGTTCAGCTCTTTTCACTTAAACCATCTCTCGAAATAGGAGTGGTTTTGAGGAGGTTCTGGGTTAGAGGACCGCCTCCCGTCATCGACATCCCTGTTTTCAATACTGGCATTTTAAAACTGTGAGATAAATCGGTAGTCCGGGGTGTCTGCGTTCAGTTTGGGTGACGCTCAAGTGACATGTTCTTCAAAGCAGATGAATAACAGGTTTAAGTGGAAACAAGTAGAAACAATTTAAGTAAGTTTTCTTTTGTTTTGTTTTTTAACCTTTGGAAAGACTCTGTACAAAATCTATTTAAAAGTTGAATTACCATGCGATTGGTAATTTGGTCATAATTTGGTTTAGTGCCCTGGAAAGGGGTAGGAAACCCATCATTAGTCATAAGGAGCTGTTAAACTCTGAAGATCCCTGGAGATCAGCTTTAGCGCCCTCTATAAATTATCAGGGAGGGAGTATCTGAAAATAATAAGAAAAATGATTTGCTGAACCTCAATACAGTATTTTTTTTTTTTGAGTCAGGGTCTCACTGTCACCCAGGCTGGAGCAGTACTTCATTTAAAAGTACTTTTCTACATAATTCAAGTCCCCCAAAGCAAAATATGATATAGCCAAGTTGTTTGGGTAGCCCCCCTCCCCCCGCTTCAGGGCCCTTCTTCCCCTTCTGAAGGTTCTTCCCCAACTAAAGTCATCCTTTTGTTCAGGAACGTTCAAGAGTCAGATAAGTGAGTGATCCTGAAATCAAGTTCATATTTTAGGGGAGAGATTGGGGCTAAGGGCTCTCTCAAATTACACCTTGGTTTGCTGCTGCTATTTTACCACTTTATGAGAGCCTGGCCCTACTTTTAGGCAGCAGCTAAATCAACAAAGATAAACAGAAGAAAATGCCAGCCTTTGTGAGTTTATCAAAGGGTGTCTGGAATCCAGGTTCATCTGACAGCAGCTGCCTCCACTATGCCTCCCAAGTTCCACCGCAAGGAGATCAAAGTCGTGTAGCTGAGGTGGCCTGGGGGCCAGGTCGGTGCCACGTCTGTGCTGGCCTCCAAGATTGGCCCCCTGGTCCTGTCTCCAAAAAAGGTTGGCAATGACATCGCCAAGGCAACTGGTGACTGAAAAGGTCTGAGGATTACAGTGGAAATTGACCATTCAGAACAGACAAGCCCAGATTGAGGTGGTATCTTCTGTCTCTGCCCTGATTGTCAAAGCCCTCAAGGAACCACTCAGAGACAGGAAGAAACAGAAGAACATTAAACACAGTGGAAACATAACTTTTGATGAGATTGTCAACAATGCCCAACAAATGTGATACTAATCCTTAGAGAACTCTCTGGAGCCGTTAAAGAGGTCCTGGGGACTGCCCAATCTGTGGGCTGCAATGTTGTTGGCTGCCACCCCCATGACATAATAGATGACATCAATAGTGGCGCAGTAGAATGCCCAGCTAGTTAAGAAGCAAAAAGGAAATATATTTCAATAAAGGGTCATTTGACAACCCCCCCCCCAAAAAAAGTGGCCAGGGAATGTTGGTGAAGACAAGCACAATTTAATGAATATAGAGGGAAATGATTAAAATAGGCTTAGCACAATTGTAAACTCTTCCAGAAAGATGTGGGAGCAGCCAAAGAAGCCAACAAAATACTTGGATATGACAAATAAGTATGGAACAAATTAGAAAATATTATCCTAACCTTATATAAAACTGACACTTTTGCTAATTAGAGTACTGTATATAGTTCTGGCCTCTGTTTTAATAAAATGGTATAATCACACTATAATTTCCTCCCAAAATGTAGCTAAAGTGATTTCAGAAGCAGGATGGACAGATGAACGTGAAAATTACCTAGACATGTGTTACACATTCTACATATTTAATCCTCAGAAAACTTTATAGGATTAAAAATGGCCAGCATTTTGCAGTGATGTATGTTAGAAATGCTTTCTTCTGCAAATTACAGAATAATATAAAACAATGGCTTAATCAAACATAAAATGTGTTGTTGTTGTTGTTGTGTTGTTACTCTAAAGAAGTGTGAGAGTAGGTGGTTTCTCGCATTGGTTGAGGGAATTTACCTCATGGTTGTGAGAGCTGACACAACCTAGAAATCATATCCAAATTCAAGAAAGGGTCACCAACATCAGCTGTTCCTTTTGTCAAGTAAGAAGGAGTTTTTCTAGAAAAATTTCTGGAAAAGATTTTCACTTATGTGTCTTTCTGTGTCACATGACCACCCCTGGGTATAAAGGCTAGAAGAGCAGGACAGTACTTAGGTTTCCAGGCTCTATGATGGATGTTAGCAGGGAGAGGGTTAGAAATGTGCATTGGGTTAAAGATGTGTGTTTGGTTAGCCAGTCCACAGGGTTTGCCACAGCTCACCCTTGAACTACTTCATATTCATCCCTGCACTTCTTCCAGTGCAAACATTTTACACTGAAAGTGTTCATCAGATCCCTAAATAAGGCAACCCCAAATCTCAGCGTTACTATATCTAGCTTGAAATCTAGAGTCCCTACAGTCTTCAAAATCATTCATTCTTAATTCTGATCATTCTGATTCTTTTTTGTTTTTTTAGTTGTGGTCTCACTCTGTTACTCAGGCTGGAGTGCCTGGCATAATCACAGTTCACCACAGTCTTGACCTCCTGGGCTCAAGTGATCCTCCCATCTCAGCCTCCTGAGTAGCTGGGACTACAGGTGTGCACCACCATGGCCAGCTAATTTTTTTCTTTTCCTTTGTTTTTTGTTTTGGGGGGGGTTGGTAGAGACAAGGTATCACTATGTTGCCTAGGCTGGGCTTGAACTCCTGGGCTCAAGCAGTTCTCCCGCCTCGGCCTCCCAAAGTGCTGGAATTACAGGCATAAATCCCCAG